TTCATATTATTTAATACATATTTGTAATAAAATAAAACGGATAAAACAAGTACGATTTGTTCATCTTGTGACTTTCCAATAACTAGTCCTAGAAAAACAAAGCACTGGATCATTGTAGAGTCAGCAATCTTTCCCAGTAGGAGTGAGTGTCTGCCCACATCCTGCGTGCGTCACACTGCCACTGCCCCCACCACCGCCCTCTCTCTCCCTCGTCAGCTGAAACTCACTCGTGTCCTCTGAAATGTGCTGACTGGCCTGTGGGAAGCTTCCTGCTCAATGAATAATAATTTTTTTGTAAGTAAAGCTTTTTCAGTGAGACCCTCTGGGGACATGGTGTCCTGTTCATTAGCTGAGAGGCAGGATGCTGGATGAGTCAGAGCAGATACGTCTGGTCGCTTGTTCATCAGCAGATTATTGGAGGCATCAGCCTTGTTACATTGGAGCAAGGAGGCGGTGGAGTTGTGTGCTTATTGCGTAACACACCACTGGGTTTCAAACAATCACATATCTCTGGTTTGTTTCAGCAAACACCCCCTGTTCTTGCTATGAGTGGAAACACTGAAAGATACAGTTGTTAGTGCAGAATTTACCACCCTGTGAGATTTGTTTTTAATATTCATGCTTCATGTGCAGAAATCAGAAAGATGCATGTGTAGATTTAAAAATGCAGAAAATAACAAGATGCAGTTGAGATCAATGTGAACAAACATAAATCTTCCCGCTCATCTAAACACTGACACCCACTAACTACTAGTTTACCCGCCTTCCAATCACACGGTGAGAAATATGAACTGCTGGGGGGTGCGACCAATCACCTCTCTCCCCTGCGTACCCGCCCCTTTGCCTTACTGACCGACATACTCACTGGCCTGGTGCCACACGAGCACTGATCTGCGGCGACACCTGCTGGTAGAATGACATCAAATACCCATTCAGTTCCTTTGTTATTTGTTTGTCCAGTGAGAATGTAATTTTAAATGATTCACTAAGTTTATTCATCTACAGGGTTCAGCTCCAAGTACTCTATATTATGTAAATAACAATAAAAGGCACATAAGACGAAGACTAAATACCACTGCTTGAATATATTTGCAATATTTTACAGTGCTACAATGAGATACAATATTAACGAGACAGTAACTTCAAATGATCAACTGTGCTCCTCCAGACTCCAGAACTACTTTAATGCAACAATCACTTTAAATAATTAGGAGCAATTTCCTTTTTATCACTGTAAATTAAATTAAGTGTATTCATTCTAACAAAAAATGTTTTTGTTGGGCACAGTAAAAAGTTTTAGGTGTTCAGAACCTTTCACTTATCGAACATGTTATTGTATTATGTATGTAATTTACAGTAGAGTCCATTTAGTTGTATGGCACACAAGGATAAAATGAATGGAGTTTTTTTGTACCATTTTATTAAAATGTATGGAAAATCAATAAGTAATATATCCCATTTAGCCTACTTGCACAATAGCTACCCAATAAGTCCATTTTTAAAAGCAAAATAAAGTAAGTAGTCATATTTGTTTCTTTTATGAATTACATTTATATTTCTTGTAGGTTGAAATCATTTGTGAACCTGCCTGCGGGTAAGTGTTTCTCGGGGAGTTGTTTCCCTGTTACACTACCGACTCTCCAGTTACCTTGGTTACACATAGACACAACAACGGTATGATTTGCTGCCGTTTGGAGTTTGAGGTCGCGTTTAAACCTTAAACACGTATAAATGTACGTTAATAACGTAGCAACTGACACGCAGTTTACGAACTTTATCGGGAGTAGATAGCAGCAGCGGGTGAATCAGATAGAGTAAGAATCTTTACACAGTGTGGGATCACAGACAACCGTCTTTACATGTTAATGGTTCTGCTGACACCGGAAGAGCGAGCTGCCGCTGCTACGATCTGAGTTTGCCCTTGCTGCAGGAAACTCTAACTTCAGTGAACTTCATTGAATCAAAATCGCCAACATGGAGGTCGTGGAAAACCTGAAAGAACTGAACATGACGGCGGATGAAGTGGAAAAATTGGGAAAAGCTTTCAAAGACGACAAGTTCAGGGAGATGCTGCGAGAGTACGCGGAGGAAATATCAGACCCGGAGAACAAGAAGAGGTACGAAGAGGAGATCGCGCTTTTGGAGCAGCAGAGGGGACACAGCATCGACTTCATCCACCCGGAACCTTTCAGGGCTCTCCGGACGAGTGTGGACGGCAGTCGGAGGTGTTTCATCAATATCTGCACCAACGAGAAAGTTGGAAAACCCGAATGTAAGTGTGGTGTGTCGGAGGATGGCCGTAGGGGGCAGAATTGGTCCCTGCCCCACAGTCTGCACCCTGGCAGACAGGACACAGACCCCAAAGGGAACCAGATCACCATCTATGATGTCATTTTCCACCCGGACACCCTCTACATAGCAAGCAAAAACAAGAGATTCATGGACATGGTGGACAGCACGGCCATTCAGGGAATCCAGAAGGCCTTTAAAGTCACTCTGGACCAAAACAATGTGCGGCAGTTGAAAACAAAGTACAAGGGCACCCCCCAGCCTTGTGTCATCCGAAAACCCATACCTGGATACAAAGCCGAGGGGCCCTCAGCGGAGCCTGACCTTCTTTCATTCCCGTTCCCTCATGAAAAAGTTCCTACCCCATCCTCACAAACCAAACCCTCAGAGGCACCTGCATCGAGAAACAGCAGTGATGCAGAACCTAAAAGTTTCCAGATCCCGCCTCAACAGAGCAAAGAGCCGACTAGGCCCAACTACACGGTGAAGTATAGATCTTTTGTCGATCTGCAGGACTTCAGGTGTTCCAGAGACTCGGCTCAGAGCCCCAGGCCCAAAGAAATAGTGGTCATCATTGACATACCTCTGCTGAAGTCCGTCACAGACACCAGCCTTGAGGTGAAGAAGAGGAGTCTGCTGCTGAATTCCGAGAAGCCGGCGTACAGGCTAGAGCTGCCTCTGGCCTACCCTGTGGACGAGGAAAAAGGAGAAGCCAAGTTTAACAAGCACAGAGGACAGCTGACGGTCACGCTGCCTGTTCTTCCATCCGATGAAGTGTTTGATTTTAATTTAGGGCCTGCGACAACTGTTGACGACGGTCAGCGAGTAGCTGATGAAGGGAAGGTGAAGGAAAGTGAGGAGGAGAAAGGGAAGGAGCAGGAGATGGGGAGTGAGGAAGGGGCTGATGAGCAAAGAGGTGTTGAGGAGGAGGAGGAAGTAAAGCAGGAAGGGGTAGATGAAGAGGAAATGAAGCAGCAGACAAAGGGGGGAGGGGGAGATTTGGAAGGAGAGGAGCAGATGAGAGGAGATCAGGGGGGTGTAGAGGGTGAGGAAATAAGTGAAGCAGGTGAGGAGGAAAAATGGAGAACGCAGAAGAGAGAGGGGGAAGAGAGTGAAGATGTGGGAAGTGGTGTGGAGAAGGAGGCAAAATGGATGAAGCAGAACACAAAAGAAGAAAGAGGAGAGGAGGTGAAAGCAGAAGAGCAGAAACAGGAAAATGTGGATGATGAAAAATCGACTGCTGAACACTCCACAGAGGAGGAAGGAGTAAATCTAACTTCAGAGATCCAAGAGGAAACTGAAAAGACAAAGGAAGACCTACAAGAAAATGTTCAGGTGAGTTAAATCCTTGTTCGAAAGCAAAAGTGTGTGGTCAAACTGTTCTGCTGAGTTCTTCCTCCTTTTATACATTTTTTCTGTTCTAGGTGGAAGCAGATGTTGCACTTCAGAGTCACACATCCAGTGAGGAATTATCAGCCATGACAACCACTTCAGGCCACGACATTGTAGAGGACGTTTCCGATGGGACTGAAGTGTCTGCAACAGATAAAGCAAACGAGTCGGGTATTCTATGTACGGGAGAGCAGATCAACAGTGACGACCTGGACGAGGACGACCTGGACACGGAGCAGATCTTCCAAACCCCAGTGCACAACAAACAGCCAACACCTGTGTTACTGAGAGAGATTGATGAAGATGGAAAGGAAAAGGTAATCAGTGATCATTCCACATCTGCTGGGTTCATCCTCCATAACTCCCTGATGTATGAGCTGGACTGAGGACTGACTTTTCTTCTAATACAGCGGTTTACAATCTTAGTTCATCTTAAAACATTGGTCAAGTTATTTTCAGTCACTTCATTAAAGGTCCAGTGTGTAAGATTTAGGTGAAAAGGATCTATTGGCAAAAATTGAATATAAAATAATCCTAGTGGTGCTTTCACTGGTGCGTTTAATCGTAACTGTACAAATAGTTGTTTTCTTCAGACTGGACAAACTGAACCTTTTGAGTTGTCATGACAACTGAAGGCTACCCAGGCTTTCTTTCATGTTTGGAAGGGGAGGGTGAGGTGAGGGCTATTCAACATGCAACTTCACTACTAGATGTCCCCAAGTTCTACACACTGAACCTATAAAACATTTGTGAAGGCTTCGACACAATTTCATTATCCCAGAATAAATTACTAAAGACAGGCGAATGCTTTAATTTTTATTGAACTTTTCTCATACAGTGCATATATATATATAGATCTATATCTATATAGATATAGATATATATAAGATGTGGGTCATTAGCAAAGTAAAAACCAACTCCCTTTAGGTGACGTTGATATGAACCCTGAGGCACCGAGTTCAGGAGATTCGTCTGATGTCTCTATTCCCCTGCGGAGCACAAGTAGGTCAGTGGAGGAACCTGGAATTTGTTCTCAGAGTCAAGAAGAATAGAAAAACACACTGGAGTCATTTTGTCAGTGTTGTTGCCTCACTATCATTACATACAGTGAGTGACGAGCAGATACAGGAGTGAGGTTTATGCTTGTCTCGTTGGTCATCCTTGATATGTGGGAAGTGCAGTACAACTTGAACGTGAGTGTAAAACAGGCAGCTTGAAGCACTTTTAAAAACAAAGCTTAACAGAAGCTGTGTCCCAATACGGGGGAGGGGGCATCCTTCAGAAGCTGCATTTGAAGACTGACTGCATGCGACTAGACTGTCCAACTTCGATGGCTCCTTCAAATGCAGTCTTCAAATGCGTCCTTTCATTGCCGGCCAGTGAAACCTATACCAGGATGCAGTGACAACCGTTTTTCAATGGGATAAGGGCACCGGCACGAGACCAAAACCCAAGTATCAGGCTTCCTCCGTAGACCACATCATTTCAGATCAGCCTACATGGGCCACGCAGACCAGATCCTCTGAAGTAGGAGGCCCCTGAATTGGGACACAGCTAGATTCAACATTGTCCTTTTATTAAAAGGCATTAGCAGAAAACTACCATTGAGCTATTTATTACTGCAGATTCTTCTTGCTAGTGTCTCAACAGATACCAGCAAACTACCACATAAACCGCTGCAGGTTCCAGCAGCTTACAGGTTTTTGGTGAAACCACAGTTTTTCTCCTGCTCATCTAATTCCTCTCTGGAGTGAGCTGTCCAAAAATTCAGAGTAGCAGGAGAGCGAGCAGAAGTGCTGCTGCACTGGAGCATCTGTGCCTCCCATGTCATCCACCAGGACGACTGTGTGAGAGACTTGGTGCAGGTTCATGCTGACCGCAGTCTTGATGTAGAAGTTGATGCAGACGCGGCCGCAGTCGCAGGACTTGGCTGTTTCCAGGTCCCGACATAAGTGGGCAGGGATGAGGTGAGGTCCATACGGTAACCTGTGAAGTGAATCAGATAGAGTAAGAATTTTATGAGCGTGCTTTCAGAACTTAAACCAAAGACTAATCTAGAAGGCTGCTTGAAGAGCACTACCAAGCCCGCATCTCGTCATGTTCACCCAAAAGATTCCTGGATAAGCTCAAAATTATTTTAAAGGATCATGGATCATGCCCCCACCCCTCCACAGAATGCAATGAAAATCTGTTTTTGTGTAACTATCAATCAAACAGACAATAAATAACTGTTGAACACGTAACCTCCTTGGTGGAGGTGATAAAAGATGATATTCTGAGCAGCTCTGCTCACCTGAGGTTGGACAGAGCCCTGGAGGCTATCTCTTGAAGTGGGAGGGGGAACGTGAGCTGCATTGTGTGGTCCAGAGGATTGGGCTGGATGAAAGGGTTTCCAAACAGGTCAAGATTCTCCAGACTCAGCTTTCGGAAGTCACCGGGCAGCACTGCCAACTGGTTGTGTGCCGCCGACAAGAACCTCAGCTTCGCGAGGCGTCCGACGTGGAACGGCAAACAGACGAGCTCGTTGTCGTCCAGTTTGAGGTTGACCAGTTCTCGGAGCTGGCAGAACTGAGCGGGGAGCGACTGCAGTCGATTCTGGCTGAGGTCCAGGAGCTGGAGGGTCCGCTGCAGCGTGGACAGGCACAGCGCCACGCTGAACGCTTCCAGGTGGTTGTTGTGGAGGATGAGTTCAGAGAGGCAGCCGAGGTCACCGATGGTGGCAGGAAGTTTCTTGATGTGGTTGTTGCTGAGGTCTAGTTTGCGGAGAGCTGTAAAAATTAAAAAACCAAAAGAGAAATATTATAACTTAAAAGGCTACTCCAGCTATTTGGTCATACATTATCATCCAACTGGGGAAACAAATTTTGGGGGTGAGAGAAGCTAAATTGAAGCAGCACGAGTTAAGCTCCTCTATTTGTTTCTGATAAAGTTCAAGCTCGGGACCCTATGTTTTACATAATGTTACTCTTGGTAATTTTCTCTAATTTTGAAAACCTCCCCTAATAAAACTACTTTAACAGGCTGAACATGAGACATTTGTGTGTAAAGCTGGGGAATTCTCCTGTAAACTATTATTAAAATAAAAGGGATTAAAAAAGCAGGAAAAATGTAAGTAAAGTGCCATTAAAACATACAGGCCAAAACTTTTCCAGCACTTAGTTGACAACTCAATCGTCTCACTTTACCTTTGAGGGACAGCATCCGCATGTCCACACGGGAAAGTTTGCAGTAGGAGACCTGCAGCTGCTCCAGAGAGTAAGGGAAGTTGGAGGTGAGGGGGTAGTCCTTCTTGGACACGATGGTGAGTTTCTTCTTGGGTTGCTCCACGTCCCTGGCGCGGACGGGAGTAAGCGTGGAGAGCGGGAGGCTGCTGGTGTCGCTTCCTCGGTCTGCCAGGCGAGCAGCCGAGAGGAAGTTTTTCAAGCTATTTGCATCCGCCTAGCAAACAAATGAATCAAATCAGGTTACAGATGGATTGATGGAAGAACAGGTGACAGAGACAGCAGCTTCGCAGTTTCCTCTCTTACCGGACTCCTTGAAATATCTAACCTAAATTCAAAAGCCGAGAACATCTTGACACACTTCCTTTGAATGAACTTGATGGACTTTTTGCTGTTGGGAAAATATCGTGTGAGATCCAGGATGGGAAAATAAAGGGATTAGATGCCTTTTAACACCTGTATTACTAAAAAAATTTAAACATTGAGGTTATCATCAGAATTTAAAGCCATACTCTGCTGTAGTGGTGTATCGTTTAAAAATAATCTAAATTATGGTTCATCTGGTTAATCGGACTTGTTTTCCCTGTTTACCTGCATCATGCTGTGTCTGTCAGTTCACAGGTATGTGTGTGTTTTTGTCCATGTGACAGGGTGAACTATAGAAGAATCTGGGTGAAAGGTCAGCCAGGCTTCAAAACAACCAGGAGAGCTTTTAACAGCAAATGGAAACAATGAGGCTTCTGTGGTGTCTGTCCAGGCACCGGCTGCAGTCAAAACAACCATGCAACGGCCCGACACTCATCTTTGTCCGGTTTTGTTCTCGCCTCACAGGGTAAACACCACTATGAGTCTGCGCACTTTGTGCACTTGTAAACAAAAGGACTGGTACTGTGATTTTTCAGTAATCTATGGCTACTTTTAAAAGGAAATATAATCTGAATATCTTATAAAACACCCTCATGTGCAGACTGTAATTACTCCATGCTGGATGTCATACCTTGCTCAAACAAATGTCGACAGCAGGTTCCTTTAGCCTCACAGTGGCCTTGCCTTCCTCCACAAACCACGTGAAGAACTTCTCTATGTTGTCTTTCAGCTGCAAGAGAAAGTTGGCACATGCTGAGCAGTGGAAAAATACATTTCACAAAACGAGGGCAGACAGTGAGTGATTCACTCTACAAGTTTCGACAGGAGAACATGTTAATTTGTATGTCATCAAGTTGGTTTATACATCATCTTTACAGAAGTAAGACTATGAATCAGAGACATAGGCTCTTGAAGGCAGCATTTCTGAAAAACAATACTGCTCGAGTTTCCAGTCAAGGTCTTTCTGGGAAAGACAATGAATAATTAAAAATAGTAGATTTAAGTGACTCTGAGAAAAAATACAGTCAATAAAGGATGAAACTATAACAGAAGACCTTGTTGTTAGTTCAGACATAAATAACATTCTATCAAACTATGCTGAATGTAAGAGGACTGATCATATAAGTCAGATCTCCTTGTGGAAACTAACATGTTATGTACAATGTGACCAAAACAGCATCCAACGTCCAGGTTCCATCAAACGAACAATATTTCACAGATATAAAATCGATATTTTTCATAGCCATTTCAAACCCTAAATAAACAATAATATGATATTTATCGTGGTAATTATCAATACTAACTGATAGTGAAAGTCATTCATTATTATTGACATTATTTTGGGCCATATTGTCCAGCTCTAGTTACATGACTTCATGGTTCTCATCTTAAGTCTCTATGAACACAAACTTTGCTCTTACTCATAGTGATGATTTAAATGTAACATTCACGTTTAAATAAATAACAGACAGACACAAACGTATAGAAAATGTCAAATGTCAAAACAGAACCTCAAAATGACAACAGATCGTGGACCCATTAGAAGTAAATGTAACATTAGGTGTATTTAATAAGCCTGAGCTAAACGTCACATTAACTTCTATGCAGCCATTGTTGTGTGTTTATGTTTACATGGGTTCAAATGCTGTTACTTCAACTGAGAATTAATAAAATACTTCTGCATCCAAACTGGCAACTTTAAGATCATATTAACAGAAGAAACTAGCAATCGGCCTGATTTGAAAACAACAACAGACCCACATTATTGATCAGTAGTGACAGTCAGGGCATTGAGGGAGTAAACTATAACAACAGACCTTGTATTTGGATCCAGATCTGTCTTTAGCTGTACAGATCATCATGTAAATGTTGCTGCGCTGACTCGTCTTGTCCGCATGTCTCCCGATGGACAGCACCGCTCTGCTCCCCTTCCCTCGACTCCTCATCCCGAACGTGGGCAGCATCCGATTCACCACCTCCACGTCGCACTGCAGCTTCATGGCAGCCGCTGACTGAGCACCGGCGGTCGAGCCACAGCCAGAAACTCCGAGTTCCAACGAAGCCGAGAGGAGGGAAACTTCCGCCACGAAGCTGGAAACTTGACGCGGCGGAGGAGCTGCTGCCACATCCGTCCCCGTCCTGGATGTCAACAACCGAGCGGTGCCGCGTCCCGGCGAGGTTTCAACTGCTCCTGAGCGGCCCTCTGTCTCCCTACGCTCCCCGTAGAGCCGGAACACTTCACCTGTCCACGGTAACCGCAGCTTTCTCCTCGGGTTTCTTTAGTCAACAGTTAATGTCCCGGACATTTTCCTCTCTGTTGCCAGGTTGTCAATTAGCCGCCGTTAGCATGAGCCCGCGCGCTTGGGAAGTGACGTCAGAGAGGCGTTTCTTTCGCGCGCACATTGGAGGAAGTGATTATAGATGTTTCACTTCGGTCTGATCAAACTACCAATAATCAATAATACAACTCAACCAATAATCATATTCAGAGATTGAGGAAGTGTTTATAGATCTATCAGGTTTCACTTCGGTCTGATCAAACTATCAATCATTAATAATACAACTCAACCAATTTTCAATCTTCTTGTTGAAATGCCAAAAACAAAAAACAACCTCTATGTCTGTTATTTGTTTGTATGTTATTTTCTCTAGTTGTGTCTCCTCAAACTGCACATGCACACCAGAAACCGTTTGTAACTATTTCTGTAACTATTTCTGTAACTTCGGTCTGTTTTAATTTTAGGACTTCAGACAGTTTCCACTAATTGTTTTTATGAATAGTTTTATTAGTATTTTTTCTCCTGGATGCAGTCTCTGGGATTTCACATACTCACGTCCCACAGCGATATCCAGTGGCCACCAGTTGTCAGAGCAGCTTCATCAGTGATTTAAAAACCAGGGAGATTATTAGTGAATGACTTTCTGTGAGAGACCTAAATAAACTGTCATCCTTCTGTTTGTGACCCTGGATCCCTCATCACACAAACAAAATGACCCAAGTGCTGCTCATCCTTCATCAGAGGAGGAGCAGGTTCAACAGGCAGCTAATCCACACTGTATGTAGAGATTGAGAAAAACGAATACATTTTTTTTAATAAACTAAAATAAAGTCCCATCCTGTTATGTTAAACCACTCCTTAAACTATTCCACTTGGACAACATTCATCTCACTCAGACAGGTGCAGGTAAAAAGATCACAAGTTGATGTTAAATATGCAACGGTCCTTCAGAAGCAATTTTATTTCCTGCAGTTTAACATTCACCTCACGATCACAAATGTCTCGTGGATTAATGCTTTGTGTGGTTTATTAAATATTATATATGAGAAAACAAAAGCAGATTACTCATGTCTTTGGTTTCACCTTGCTGTTTAACAATAAACCAAAACACAATACCTTTGGTAACTCCATGCAACTTTTCTTTTCTTTTCATTTGTTGTTCTCAATGATGCCTCTTAGTGGGACAGTTTCCAGGAGGTGTTGCCACGCATGTATTTAACACACATAATAACTGGTGAAGCTTTCTTTCCTTTTATTTTTTAAAATAATCAGATCATGCAGTGTCATGTGTCAAATACCCTAACCCTGCATGTACGCACCACACATGTACCACACACACATACACACACACACATTTGCGCAGCTTTCCTCACTGGGACCTACCATCTGACCGTCAAATCAAAGCCTTATCCTAACTGTTACCATGTTAAATTCATACCTCTAACTAAGGGGAATTCTGATTTTTTTCAACCTGGGTCCTATGTTTATAAATGTGGATATGTAAATGAATGGTACTTTTGGAATTGGTCCAGTAGATTGCCTCCACCAGCAGCCGTAAATGTTCGCTCTGGCTACAATGTAGTTTTATGGGGCAA